CTTATATACTTACAAAATAACATATACATATATATATATATATGTATATGTATATATATATATATATATATAGTATATTTTGAGACTGCACCAGGATCAATTGAAAAGGGAAGTATTCGACAACGATGGAAAATACATTGTAAACTATAGAATGAAATTGCCGTTGTATGTATTTATGGCTATGTAAATTATGTCCAACAGTTGAACAAATGCGAATCATTGCGGCTTTAGGTCGAAGACATGCAGCAACGTCGGGCATGAGTGATATCTCAATAGACTACGGCAGTTGCTAGACCAAAAAAGGCAAATAGAATAGTTTACGCTGTATTTATTCCGGCGTATCGATGTGTGCTTCTGCCCCTGACCACCATACACAGACACTCATGTGCGTACATATATGGTACACACGGATATCACATGAGTACGCACACGCATGCCTCACCACATATACGAGCAAGCAGACATATGTGTATATATACAAATGCGAACTGCAGACCACACATAACTACACCCGAGGTAGGTGTACGATAGGTATACCTCGGGCATTCGGTGCATGTTAACTGTCTGTGAATATGTATTTGTATTGAAACGAATGCACACAGAGAAAGCCGTTCTTGGAAACAACTTCCCACACGAAAACATTAATACGCACGCAAACACCCACTCAAGTAGATTTACATGCAATTTACTATAGGCGTCCGGTATATGTCGGCGACTTGCGTGTGCTTGTTCGTGTTGAAGGGGTGTGTAATGTAGAGTACACAGGAGAAGTCTTTGTTGACCCTTCTTTCTTGTGTACATGCACAAGATGCGCATATACACAAGCACATGAACACGTAGACGAACACGAACGGGCACACACACACACACACCAGTACTTTGGTAGGCTTGCATGCAACATACCTCAGTCATCCGGTGCATGTCTGCAATCTGCGTGTATTTGTTCGTGTTGAACGAGTGGTGCAGAAAGTAGAGCACATAGAAGAAGTCGTTGTTGACGTTACTGCCTTTCCTACCAAAGTGGAACGTCCGCGATACATCGGGGATGATGGTGCGCCTCCCTGAGCCAAGTGGAACATACCGTCATTCAGATGGGAGGTATTGACACGACGCACACGGTATGGTAAAAGCAAGCACACGTACACGATGATCAATGTATCATGCACTGTGTGAGCGCAAGACGGTGGTATGGTGGTATGCTACAGGTTGTACTTGCGCGTACACCCAGACTACTTGTAGGTACACATACGCGAGCACTTGTTTGTACCTCTTCATGCCGCTCATACTTATGGTATTGGACTCGTGGCGCAGCCAGAGATCCCAACTGAAGCCTTGGTAACACTGGGGCCATTTTGACCTCAAATCTCTTCCCAGCACTTCTCAGTCAACACCCACCCAGGCGTACAGCTACAATGACAACTGGTACACAGTAGTGTGTGTGGCTACAGCGATACGAATATTGATTTCTAGCTCTCCATATCGCTCATACCTTTGGTATTGGCATTGTGACGCAGCCAAAGATCCCAACTGAATCCTTGGCAACACTGAGGCCATTTGACCTCAAGCTCTCCCCATAATTTTTTGGTCAACACCCACCCAAGGCCGGTGAAGAATTCGGAAAGGTATAATCTGCCAGGGATTTTGGGGTCGAGTACAAAGTCGAGCGTATGTGAGTAAGAATGGATATACCGATCCAATGATACGTACGGTGGTGAAAATGCGTATCGAACCTAATAGAA